AGAAAAAGAAGGATTTTCTTCAGTTAAGAATACGGTGTGTCATTGTAAAATTCGATATGTTGTAACTCCTCCTCTGTCAGAGACATTAGTTTACAATATTATTCAAGATATTCAATATAGGTCTGAATTAAATGTTTCTTTCACGAGCACATGCACACCGGACCGATATTTTTGGTTCATGCTTTTACGGATGACATATTGGCTATGTTATTGTTTGGAAAGACAAATATATAATCTGAAAAAAAAAACATTATGGATATTCTTTATTTGGAGCTTAAATCACATCATTCACTATCATAGGGCTACAAAAATCCATTTCTCGTAACTATGAAAACAAAGAAAAACAAAGTGTCGCGACACCACAGCTTATAGCATATTTGTAAGGGAGTGGTCAATTGCATGTGCGAAATATGTCCTCAATAGATACATATGTTTAGGTGTATAGCTATATTGTTTAAACGAATCAAATAATGTCTGAATTAGCTAAACTGACTCTCTCAAGATATTATGAATGATTGTCCAACTGAACTATACATCGGCAATGTTTGAACAGTTTACAGAATTCAGGTATACAGTAAATCACCAAATGTTCTGTAAACACCAAAACTTCCAATACTTTTTGGAATCATATTAGATTCAGGTAAGGAAATAAATTATGGCTAAGTTTTGTTGATGTAGGTCTCAAATGTCTGTCAGAGAAGCAATTTACTGACGACGAAAATGTGGAATTGATTGAATGTTTGCTTGACAATATTCTTGTCGAGATTTACATCTACAGTGATGATGTATTTTCACAGGGTTCCAGACATGGTCTCTATCTCGGAAAGCATTTCGAAGAATAAATATTATTCACAGATACATCATCATTAATTACATTTAAACATTTTTATGAAAATATTGAATTTCATAGCTATATATATATAGTAAGTAATATTGCTGGTATTGTCCAACATTAGTACTGGATCCAAACAAATAAATGTTCGTTGGATGCGTATTACTTGAATAGACATATGATCAATGACGTAACAACGACAGTAAGGACAAGCGAATATTTTTTTTATCAAAAAAAAATATATCGTAAAAAAATAATGGATGTATGCGTAGTTACAAAGAAAAACACTTTCATAAAATCACCAGTTAAATGCACAAATATATATATCTAAAAGTATTATTTTGAATACGATCAAATAGGCCCCAGATTCCCCAACTCTCCCAACTAAAAGTAACCCCATTAAATAAAAAAATGTCTACTTCCAGACTAGAGTTAATACACGTTCCCAACCTTAAATAGGAAGGAAAGCAGAAGTATCGACTAATGAAAAAATCCTCCTTAAAATGTAGCCGGTAAAATACATTCCAATTGTTTTCGTTGCGATCACAGTGCAAAACATAACGAGATCGATATAAAACTTTTCTGATATTTAATCGCCATCTTCCATACAACAACGTTTTATCCGTTACAAAGGGCGTCCATCGGCCAAAGGGATTATCTATACACCTAAATTTATACCACAGCTCTCGATTTAGATTTATAACTTTGTATTTGTTTTATTTTCAATGTATGTGATGTAATGTATGTAATATTTGTGTCTTGATAAAGGGACAGGTTGCCTCCTCGAAAACCTGACAATTCGCTTGTCTGTGTTGTCGCTATTGCGTCATTGATCATATATATACATATTTGCTAAAGAATCGTGTATGCATTTTGAAACAAATATTATATATTTTTCTAATAAGTTTTAGGAACAATTTGTATCAACCTATTGAAGTTGAAATTGACACAATCCTAAAACTTATTGGATACATCAGCAGGACTACTGACCTATCCGCACTCTGTATCCTGACTGACTACAGAACTGAAATCTCGGCTTACGATTTGTTAACGAATACCACTTTTCTGACTATAAAGGCATGCCATATATACTCCTGGGACAAAGTAAGACAGTATCCGTCCCATCGGTAACATTACATATCCTTTCTTACTAAGGATATTTCATGATGTGAATCAATTTCGATAAGTACCAAACGGGTTACATTTCTTGACTTATCTACCTGATAATGGCAGTATGTTGCCCTCTTGACATTATACGATTTTATGTGTCACGCTAACCTACATAGCTATTTAAATGTTCAGTATGTCGGATACCTGTACCAAAATTATCAAGGGTATCTATATCAGCTTGTTTGTGGTATACTTTAAATGATGAATGAAATTCAGCGAATTAAGAATAAGTTTACTATTAAAATCAATATATACATAGATAAGAAATAAATAAATAAAAATCCCTTGTGATGTTAATATAACTTAATAACACTAGAGTTCTTAACTGCAAAGTTCCTGCTTTATAATAGCAAACACGTGAAATATACTAACGCAGATGAAATAACATTCAGTAACTACTTCAATGAGTTTGGTGTTATGTGTGCCGGGTGATATATTTTTATTTCTGATCGTTTTCAGTTGTGACTTTCTGAGTATAGCGTACTCATGCTCACCCAATAATGACAGAGATTAATACATGGATGAACATGAATGTTGTTAATAAAACAGAGTAATTTGAGAAATTTCAATGATACAAATTGAGAGATTTTTGACATTGAGCAAGAAATTAATTGATACAGATGACAAAAAGAACGAAAAACTGTAATAGTATGATTTCAGCTATCGAACCTGGAAATGGTTCATCTAAATATATCTCCTTGGTATGAAATCTACCACAGCTGATTTAATCATAATTAAATCTGTACATACAACGAGAAAATCTTTCCCATGGGGGAGTAATTTTACGACAAAATCTATATACTATATATCTATCAATATATCTAAACATCGATTCAAACGCAGTGGAGATTTCCACGACACTTTATCTGTGTCCCTCGTTATCTGATTCTCTTAGGCAGAGAGTTCATGAGTGAGGTTATCCTTCTTATTGGGATGCTACCCCATTCTTCCAAGAGGGCTGCTCTCAGTTGAGCCAGAGTAACAGAGAGAGGCTGACGTCGTCGAACCTATCTATCCAGCTGGTCCCACAAGTGCTCAATAGTGGATAGGTCGGGGTTGTATGGCGGCTAGTCCAATGGGTGGGCAGACTTACAAACGGGTGAGGTGCCCGCAGGCCAACTTCCCGCAATCGTTTTGCGCAAATGCTTTATCATTATTAAATTATTAAATCCTTTTTTGAAACTGTTGAGATTTGTAAAATTCTAGGTAATCTAAAAGATGTTGGTTCACATAATAGAATATGACTTAGCATTTTTGTGATAAAGATTTTAAGCATTTGCCTTTTACCTTTTAGTTTGTTGTTATTTCAATTTCGGATCGCTGCGTGTTTTACCGAAGAATTATCTATTTGTGATAGAGGTCATTTTTTAAAACGGGAAGGATCTTTTTTTCATAGAAGCCACACTTTACAACGGGAGTAATCTATTTGTTAGATATTTCAAACTTTATATCTGTGAAATCAATTTGTTCCAGAGATCACACAGCGAGAGTGATCTATTTGTGAAAGAGGTTACCTATTACAACGGGAGTGGTCTTTTTGTTATATAGGTCACACTTTACAACGGGATCAGTTTGTTGTAGAAGTCACATTCAACAACGAAAGGAATATATTTTTGATAGAGGTAACACTCTACAACGGGAGAAGTTTAATCGTTATAGAGGTCACACCCTACGAAGGAAGGGTCCTATCTGTTTTACAGGTCATACTCTACAATGGAGGCGTATATTGATTATTACAGAAACGCTCTACAATGTGAGGAGTCTATTTCTTATAGAGGTTACCCTGTTCCATGGGAGTGATCTATTTGTGATAGAGATGATCACGTTTTACAACGGGAAGGATATATATGTTAGAGATTTCACACTCTACAATAGCAGCAATCTTTTGTGAAAGATGTCACGATATCTATTATAGAGATCACAATCTACATCGGTATGAATTCATTCCTTCCACAGGTTACGATCAAATTTGTTATAGAAGTGACACTCTAAAACGTAAAGGAGAAATGTTTTGTCGGGACTGAACAAAAAGCACACCAGTTCATTTGCACCCTAAACGTTCCATTATTGATATTAGCAGTAGCTTACAAAAGGTCACAACAAAAACTTTTCACGTGAAAATATACTCGTGTTCATCCAAATAGGCTGAATAGTGAGATAAACATTATGATGCAACAAAGTGTTTTTGACATGATATATATATATGATTCTCGTATTTCCTACAACGACAGAGATCCAATTCATGAGGCACTCGCCCATGTCACGTCTTATATATAATGTGATTCTCAAATCTCGTCCGAATGTTTGCCAGGGTCCCACACATAAAGTGAAGCTGTCAACTAACGTGGGAGAAGACTACGGACCGTGAGGACAGTTACAGAAATCGCCGTCGTCTTCATTGTAAGTTTAACAATAACAATTTTGTCGATTTATCGTTCTCCTTATTTGCCAATTTGTTTTGCGTTATAGGGTTGAAGTATAATGAAAACGTTGGTTTTAGCAACAAAACTCGGTGCTATTTTCAGTAACTCCCCCAGGTATATTTGTTATAGAGACCACCGGGAGGGAGTTTTTGTTTGTAGAGGCCAGTCTACAAATGAAGGGATAAATTTGTTACAGAGAGCGCCCTCTAAAACGGGAGGGATCTGGTTGTTATGAATGTCACACTCTAAAACGAGAGGATCAAATTTGTTATAGAAGTCGCACTTTAAAACGGAAAGGAGATATTTTTATCGGGGCTGAACAAAAAGCACGCCAGTTCATCATTTGCACCCTAAACGTTATATTATTCAAAATAACTGTAGCATACAAAAGGTCCCAACAAAAACCTTTTTCGTGAAAATATACTAGTGTTCATCCAAATAGGCTGAATAATAAGACATGATGCAACATAGCAGTTTTAACATGAAATATATGTTAATGATTTTGTATTTGCTTGAAAGACTTTTTTCAGGGTCAAGCGGAGATTTTAGAGTGGATTTATATAGAGTGTCTGAGGATGGAGAGAATCTCGAGATCTTCCAGGCTTGACTTCAGAAATTTAGTTGTCTCCATCAAATCGAAGACATTATTGCACAGTGTGTCTGGATTAGCATCAAGTGGCGATCTGCTGGCCGTGATGGGACCTTCAGGTAATATCTGAGTTTTCATACAAATATCCGCAATCAGTAAAGAATGGCAGGGAGCGACGATGTATGTCATCGCATACGAGAAAAGAAAGAGAACTAAAAATGTCGCTATTTCAAATATAAAGTAGTCAATCAGGTGAATATCCAACGTGTGACGAAGCAAACAAGAGCCGTAGCGGGCTTGACGATTAACTGAGATAAGCAATATTGAATATAAAGGTTAAAGGGTAGATATCAAGGATCATGAAACAGAAATTGTGACACTGAATATAGTAAGCCAGTGTCAATACATGCATACAATCAAAACTGTCATCCTGTACCAATAATTCTTACAAAGTTATTTCCAGGGCGAAAAAACCAACGTTATTGTTAAAAATGCATTTATTTATGAGAAGAAGATTTTTTAAATTTAAGTCAATTTGACCCCTTCTGGCCCCAACCATCAGCCCTTTGGGGTCAGCTAGGATCAATTTGGGCATTTCATCAAGTCGTCATCCTTCACTCAATTCTAACCAAGTTGGAAATATTTTCAATGGAAATTAAACAAATTATACTCAAAAACCTATTTTTACTATATAAACTATTGTAAACTTTACCCTCTCCCCATGGGGAAGTGTGAGACTATGGGGCCAAGAAATTCACAATTTTGGTAAAGAACCCTACGGTGCTTCCTTTCATGAAGAGTATTTAATTCTATCATATCTGGCTTTTGAGAAGACGATTTTTGAAATTTAAGTCAATTTGACACCTTTTTGTCTCGCCCTTCAGGCCCCTGTAGTGTGGAGACTGTTAAAATTGTCGTTCATCTTAAGCCAGGAAAGGTTTCTGCAAAATTTTATTGAAAATGGATCAGGTGTTTTTGAGAAGAAGTCGAAAATGTTAGATTGTTTACGGACACACGACGCCGGATGGAGGTGATCACATAGAGCCTCAGGAGATCTAAAACGAAATAAAGATAAAGAGTATCTACATGAGCCCACTTCACGCGTATCAAGAATCTCTCACTTATGTATCCGGTTCAAGGTAATTACTCAGAAACCTATGACGTCATACGACCGGCTTTTTACCGATTGGCAGACTGCTGAACCTTAGGTCTGATACGAAAAATGACGACAAGAAACGATCTGTCTGTAAGTATTTTGAATACGTAAGGTATTTATACATTTATCTAGAACGAACTTGAGTCCGAAAAAAAATAAACAGATTGCATTTCACTGTAAGCGATGTGTAATGTAACTCAAATATGATCTTACAATGTGTCCGTAGAATAAACATATAGAACCTCAAATGTGCTCGATGTGTTAAGCCCATTTTAAAGTTTAATTTTTGCGTTTTGTTGATGATTAATTTTCTAAAGTGATAATTTGAATAAGCTTATCTATATTTAATCACGAGATTCAAAGTGATTTTAATAATTCAAAGATGTTACTAATTTGAAACTTCGATTTAGTTTTTGTTCGTTTGTTTATTTATTTTCTCTTTTCGTTAGTTGCGTTTTAGCTTTTATTAAAGTTTTTTATTTCTCATTATTTTGTAATCTTTTTTTATTTATGTGCGTAATTCAAAAAAGAATTCACCGGTATGTTTTGTATGTTGAGCATATTTAATTATTTCTGTTAATATATGTAATTGATAAAATTGTTACTTTCAGAAATTATGTTCCAGTCCTTTGCAGCGATTAAAGATTGGATAACCTAACGTACGTCTTTACTAACAAGGATTATTACAAGGCATACATAGCAGTTAATTAGAATCCGCGAGGCAACTCTGAAGGACAGGAAAAGTGGACGCGTCAAAATATAAATGCCATGAATCTGATAAGGATGATTTCAACCATGCAAAAGAAAGCTCTCTTAGTTGAGCACCTTACTGATACAGCAGGGAAGACGTAGTTTACCCTGCCAGTAGTTATGTTGTGAGTTGTGAAGAGAGGTCAAGTTCATCCTCTGCTTTGATGTGGTTCAAGAGGTTTATAAAGATGTTGCCAGAATTAAAAGTAAAGCATCCAGAGGATTAAACGTTCAGCGGTTAATGCAACGATGTAAGACGTGGTTTCATCATATTTTGTTGAACTGGACAATATCATGACAAATGTGACGCACACAGAAAACCAGAACGAGAACAAGAATGCTAAAGTCCTTTTATGAAGGAAAGATCATAATATGTACAATAAGAAAACAAAGAGAAGATGTGTGAATACTGTATTATCGTGGATAATTACTAAAAATGACACTTGTAAAAAATCAAAAAAAAAAAAAATCTTGTAAATGTCATTTAAACATCTGACATCACAGAGAGCTGTGGCAGAAATTGGAAATAGAAAATAGCCTGGAAATAGTGTAACTAACCCACTTGACCGATCTGATATGTAACATTCAAACCAAGCGTTGACCAATGACCATGAAGATGATTGAGGGAAAATGTTTTACTGTGACGAACTCCTTGAAGACAATGTATGTTAATTGGTTGCAAGCACTAGACCGATATCAAATACTGCTGCAGTGTGACACGATTAAGGCTGAATGATAAATTCTTTATACATGCCATGGTGTGTTATAAATGCATATCACATGAAGAATAGATAATTCACTCCAATATTGTAATCATCAAATTATAATACTTGCAAAAAAGGGGGAAAACCGTCATTGGTCTCATTTTTCATATTGACTGCAGTTTTCAATAAACATTTTGTTCGTTTTGTTTGGCAAGGCAGATTGCTAACTTTCATTGCCGGCTTCACCAGGTAAAAAAGAAAAAGCTTAATCTTATGACTTAACCGATAAAGGCATGGTGATAATCATAAGATTGAGTTTGTTTTGTTTTCATGCTATTTTTGTGATCGAGTGGAGTCCGAAAAATATACCATCGGGATACTGAAATACAATTTGATTGTTCATTATTAGATAGCAAATTATTAAGGAAATGAAAATTACAATTTTGTCATGCTATCAATGGTGATATGAAGACAATAAACACGTACGTTTGAACCATTTTCTTCGGCTTATATATCTGACGGTTCCACTTAACTCGAAATATCAATTTGGATCATTCAGCTATATTATTATAGTTTCTGCATCTCAAAACGCTATTTTCGGTTATACTATTATTTTCAAAACTGTTGTTTTGCAGGTGCTGGAAAGACGACGTTACTAAATGCCCTGGCAAGAAGAATACCATGTGATTCCGGAACAATCACTTTGAATGGAATGCCATTCAACAAAGAACAGCGAGGCCGCCTTGGCTACGTATCACAGACCGATGTTTTCCTATCCAACCTGACACTGTGGGAAACACTCTACGTGAGGAATTCATAAACAACAATATCTGACAAATTTTGTAAAAATTATAGCTACTGACATGTATCATAAATCCATTTCAGTTTTAAATGTGCTATGTAGAGAATTACAACAAATGATTACCGATTCGGGAATCTTCGAGTCATTCACATGAATGTGTTGTGGAGATGTCCGAACATGGGGTACACAAGTTTATTAAAAAGTGGGTTTTTTTTCTGTTTGGTGGGGGGGTCACATAAGAGTCTTCAAAGGCTGGCATATTGTTTTGCGAGTAGCGACAATTTTGCTAATAGGAAACAAGACCAAATCTCTGAGGTATACTGGATATGTAACAACAATTTTGAAATGGTTAAGTAGCTGTTTTAAGATCGATTCGTGTTTTATTAATATCCATTTGCCTCTCAAATCTGGGATATTGATAGATAATGACGATTTTTAAAATTCAGATTTAAGGTTTTGATGCCTATGACACATTAATCGAAAAACCGAACTCATATATATCACAACGATTTGTGCTTATAATGTACTGAAATTATTACGATTCAAACCTATTACCAATCAATATTCTCATTGTTCTCTTTCAAATTAACAGTGGTGTCGTATCACATTCGATAGTAAGAAACGAATTCATCTTTAGTTTACAGCAATGATACGGATACCAGATGACGTACCGAAGCAAGAAAAAATTGCGAAGATACAAGCAATAGTTGAAATATTGGGTCTACAGATGTGCTTACATACAAGTACGTAGGTTTGTTGTATGAAGACATTTACACATCAGCCACAACAGTTAATGTTGTATACAGATTTCCAATAAAGCATCAATTGTGGAAATCAGTTTGTCAGAACGTGTATTTTCTTTGAGGAAATTAAAACTCGTATCCTTGCTAAAGAGTAAGTGTCAAAAATTCATGCCGACAAAATGTATGAACTTGGCAAAATATGAGTATTTTTTTTTAACTTTCTTCAGGTCAGTGTACATTGTATCTGTCTTCTTCTACTATTCAATATTTTAGTTGTTGGTGATCTTTGTCATCGTGGCTTATCAGGAGGAGAGAAGAAAAGAGCTAATATTGCCTGTGAGATCCTAACAGATCCGGACATACTCCTCGTGGATGTTAGTGTGTGTCTTCTATTTATTAAAGTAATCCTTTGACATACAAAATGTGAACTATGCTTACATGGATAAAGCCTTTATAAGAACTATCAAAATAGGACAATTTTTTTTAAGTAATCATTTTTTTTTATTATTATTATCCGTTTATTACGTTTCATCTATACATTTATTTTTATAAGGAACCAACCTCCGGTTTAGATTCGAGTTCTGCAAATTCGTTGATGCTACAATTGAAACAATATGCCACGAAATACAACAAAACGATCATAGCCTCTGTTCACCAGCCATCCAGTCAGATCTTCCACATGTTCTCCAACCTGCTTTTGCTAAAGGAAGGGAAGGTAATTTTTTTTATTTATGTATGGTCACGTATGGAAATTTACAGTCCGTTATGCTGCTGAACGTTCCGGCGTTTGTTGGTTTTTGCTGAGTTGAATTTCCCCGGACAAAAGCGTAAGTCACTCGCTATAAAATATTTTCCCTTCTTTTCCAGATGGTGTACTTTGGATTAGCCGACAAAGTATTACAGCATTTTGTTAGTCTGGGGTTGACGTGTGATAAACATCATAATCCTGCCGACTTTCTCCGTAAGTAAACATATCTTATTAACCAGACTGTTTGAAAACAAAGCAAGGAAATACCGAAATGTAAAGATAAGCATAATTAAAACTCCGATCCAATGAAACTAGCTCATAATATGGAAATCAAAATATATATACACTTGGACTCCTAAAAAGTACAAGAAAAAGACCAGGTGTTATGTAAGTATACGTGTCTTCTGCTTCATCAATGACACCCGCCATATAAATCTTGGTCAATCCAATTACGTAATGCCACGATCTTGAATAAGAACTAGGTATACAACAACGAAAAACATGCAGATTAACGAACATCAAAACCTTCCACCTTCATTTTGCCAAAAAGGCATAGAATATTTCTCAAAGACGACCATAAAACATCCCCATAATGATTTTTATCAATCTCCATTCTTGAAACCCTAAGTTATGAGTTTGTCAGTCAGCTGACATCTTGCACGAAAATCGTGATATTATGATCAGACCCATGAATACCAATCAACAACGAATTGTAAACACCGTAGATATGGGATGCGAGGTTGTTGCTATCCCCCAAAAAATGAAAATTAAGAATTTTGAAATTTAAATCATCGCGCTTATCGTACAGCTTGGTGCAAAGCTGACCATGTTGGTTTCGTTGCAGGAAAATATTGAGATAGAAAGTTGATATAGAAGAGTCATGTACTTAATTTCCAATTCTTCGCCTGGATATATACGTGGATTGACGTAGTCACTAAATTGCTTGTTACTTGATGGTCGTGAATTGACAAACCCTATAACAATACATAAAACGTATAGAGATTATAGCAGATTTTTAAAAAATAATAATTTAAAAAACAAATAAATTGAGAATAATAGTCGGGTAACTCTCTCTTTCGTGATATGTTCCTTTTCTTTCGAGTAGCCTGGGACTTACCTAGTGACCTAAATATGTATGCTTACTTTTGGAGAACGTGTTCTGAGGGATAAATATAAGCACAACATGGTCAATGATCATAAAGTGTACAATTAATTGATACCGAACATCACTGGGGCTTTCTTAATGAGTTAGCGTTTCACAATGGAGATATATCAAATATGACCATGGCATCTTTTGTACTATTTAAAGACTGATAACGGTAATGTTTTCTTTACTACACCACATAAATTTGTACAGAATGTGACATTTTCATACGTCAAGGTCTTGATAAATTACCATTGATATGCCGCGATTTAAGTCAATGGCAATATTCAACAAATAAAACAGTGGCTATTCAGTAAAATCCATTTGAAATGAGATCAAATAATGTCTTTCGATACATATTACATAGTTCAGGTATTGACAGCGGATAGGAGCACAAAGGCAGACGACGAAGGCAACAGGGCGAATCATAGGTAAGTATTTAATATGTCCCATCTGATACTGTTTATGTAATATATATCAATAAAACTATCGTTGAACTATTGAAACATTTGACCACGAAATGGGTTATATCAAATTTGAATACATCTTAATCTAAATAGCAGTACCACTAATATGGTGTCACTCAAATGTCCCGATACCTGATTTTAGGCAGTCGAAAGTACCCGTTACGCATAAGTAAGACATTTAATGAGTTGACTGGTCAGGTGTAAGTGTGGCGTCAAAGTGTTACTTCGATTGGCCATGTCTTATATGTTAACAGTAGTATAGGAGGAAAATTGATTGATTGAAATTGATAAGACTTCAACTAAACAATATATACCTTTATAACAGAACTTGAATTTTTTTTCAAATAAATTAGTAGGAAATCTACATCGTGAGTTGGCGATATTCTATTATACAATTACGTACATCTCTGAATACATGACCGAGATTGCTATTATAAAATAACTTTTTGATAATAAGATGTGATATGATTATATAAAATAACGTTGTTTTGTGATGAGTATTTACGCAGGTACAAATTACACGTGTACTCACTCGCTTTCATTCATGTGTACATGTATCAATACCCATACCATAAACAAGAGAGTTATGCGATTATCCAATAAAAATAAGAATCCCACCGAAAATTGTATATGCAAGGTATTGTTAGTTAGTGTATATAAGTGTGGGGAATGCCGTTATTTATAGGCTATGAATCATATGATTCATGGCAACATCATCATAATCCAAATTCAAATTCCTTAAAACTGGGGCAAAATATCAACAAAAGAAATATTTATACGGAGACTAATGAAACGGTATAAAGAGAATAAGATCAGTAGAGTAAGCATCCTCTGCTTCATCAATGACACCCGCCATGTAAACCTTGGCCAATCCAAGTAAGTTATGTCAAGTTCCCAAATGATATCAATGTATACAACAGCGCAACCAACAGACAAACTAAGTTTAAAAAGAAAGAAGGCTAAAACACGATTTGTTTAGTGCTATACATCATAAGATGAACAATACCATTTATACGAAGGTAAATGTCACTTGAAAACGATTTTGAACAATTGAAAATGAATGCAAGCGTGGCCCATGTAGTAGTGTCTTGTTAGGTTAAGTGAGTATTGCAGACACTGAGGTTTAAAGGTTTAAAGAAATAGTAACATGTCGGTGCACTTATTAACACAGGTGATTAATAGACATTCTTTGTTATTTTCGAGGCGATTTGTTTCAGCAAATTTCAAAAGACAGGTAATTTGATAATGACGACATATGATTTCGCCTTGATGTAATCACTGGAAGTGTATCATTTTAGTGGATCTACATGCAACATTTTAATTGATTTGCGGTGAAGAATATACAAATACTTGACGTTCTTTTGAAGTCAGCTGATAATAAAATATTTTAAAAAGTATTGAATTTCACGGTTTAGTGAAAATCCCAACTTATATTTTGACGTTGCTACCGATTAATGGTGACATTACCCAGAGACCTCCTAGTAATAACACTTGAGATTCGTTAACGAATCCTAGATGGAAGAAACAACGACATGATACAAGTTTCGTTATTTGACTCTACTATTGACTTGTTTCTCCTTTATTATCATCGCTCTATCATAAAAATATTTAAGAACAACCATTGAATGAAAAAACCTACTTTGGAAATGATACTTCATGTTTCAGTCTTCATCCCATTCCGTTTGGTTCCGATATTGAAAACGGGCATAATCCTACAGAAAACGACAGAGAAAGAAGGATATGGACATCAGGTGTGGAGCTATTGTCAGGTAATGTAACTAATATAGCATGTCGGATATGAAGCGTAAATACAGAGCAATGTTGGTGCTGCATTTGTAATTGTTTGATATATTGTTTTAAACATAATTACATAAAACAGCTATTCGCTCTTTAATACCTACAAATGTAAAGATCTTCTTGCAAAACACAAATGGACCATTTTTCTGCAATGTTCTTAATCAAGATGATATCATAGACACTGGTGTTAATGTGGCAGGAACAGTTCCCATTTGATGAACGAGAATGGCATTTACACATTTCCATATAAAGTACCAAAAATACTCAACTTCAATGGCGAATAACACACCACTTTCTTACCACGGTCTATTTTAAGCAGACATAGTAGCTAGACCAGTATCCTGTGAATATTTTATACATTTTAAATAGAAAAGTTAACGATATTATTTCTTTCTCTAATGTTATATGATATGCATGTATCGTTTGAATAAGCATATATCAGTATGAGTATTTCAGTGCATGTCAAAATTAAATGTGTGGTGTGATTCTATTTGAGCCAGCCAATAAATGTGAACCTCTTTTTGTTGATATTTTGAATTGTTTCATTTTGCGTGTTGAATTATATAAAATGTTTATTAAAAATATTTTTTTCAATCCTTATCGAAAATGAAACATATCAGCTTTATTGCTTTATGGCCTTTGTGAAACAGCTAGGGAATTCTATATCTTCATATTGGTTTCCGGACTTTTCGTGGACTTCATGATTTTGCTTTTTATTTAGTCATGATTAAATCATCGGATGGAAGTACTACTAATTGCAATCACGTTCTGGAAGAGGAAATGGCAAGCAGATGGCCAACATCTCTCTGGAACCAGTTCAAATTACTCAGCTGGAGATCATACAGGCAATCCAAGGGAAGGCTTCTTCACAAGTTTGAGGTGTTGTTAACTGCTTTCATAGCTGCATTTCTCAGCGTGATCTTCTTTCAAGTTGAAGATTCCATCATAACCGTCCGAGACAGAATGGGTTTGGTAGGACATCTCCATCTCCTGAAATCACAAATATGTCATTTTTCGCAAAAACAATATACGATAAGTAGTCTATAATTACATCACAACTCACCTTTGTCATTAAATAAATCCATGATTACCCGTACGAATGCTCGAGACTGAGTGACATGTCTGTGCTTTCATTCGATAAAACACACAAGCACATTTGAAATAAAACAGTTTTTAAAAATGTACTGTCAATAAGTAACCATTGTTATTTCCATCTGTATTTTCTATAAACAATATTTTGCACGAATAAACTTAATTGTCACGTTCATTGTGCAATTAAATTACATTAATATTATGATTGAGCTACATAATATAAATGATTTTAACCACACAAAACGGCACGAATAATTCATTCATATTGTTTACAATCGCACATAGATCTTGACAAAGTGATAAAGCAAATATCATATCGATGATATAATAAAAATGAGAATTTTAAAGATTAAACATCTGAATTAATGATCTGTTATCATTTATAGGTGATGTCGTCTCTGTTGTTCTGGTCCTTCAGAATTGAAATCCTGACCATTTTAGGGTGTAGGTATGATTATTGTCTTTTTAGTAGACGTGTATTTCGGTTTCTTTATTTTATTCGTATATGGTGTAAGGGAAAATGTTATGTCTTTATGTCTTTTATTTGTCAGTTAATGCAGACCGCGCTGTTCTCAGTAAAGACTATGCTGCCGGGACGTACCGAATGTTGGCCTATTATCTTGCAAAGATGGCCAGTGAGATGCCCCTTCTGTTAGTCTTGCCATTCCTCTTTAATACTGTTGTGTACTGGATGACTGGTCTGGGAGGAGTGGACGGATATTTTGTTTTCCTCTGTATTGGCACATTAAACTGTCTACTGATGCAGGTAACTTATCAATGAATTGTTTAGAAAATAAGTCAGTTGTATACTCCCGATACAAAGTTATACATGAAGTATACTCCGAGTGATCAGAAAGACGTTTAGATATGTGTGATCTTCACAAAAGATTGAATACAATAATCCAATGCCAGAAATGAGCGCAGCGCAATTTTGTTGACAAATGTTCAATCAACTTTAGAATTCATACTTTAATTCTAATATTTCCTAGTTGTCTGCATCTCATATGTCATCGGTTTCCTCTTGTAATGACTGTGTGACAGATCGCTAGGCAAATCACTAGGAATCTTAATACATATGATTTAGCAAAAATGGCATTTTATATTAATTTCCGTTGTTTTCCGTCTAGAGTGTTGCACACAACCTTGCAGTGCTGATAAAAGACGTGAAACTCAGCACCATGACTGGCAACGTGCTCATCTTAGGGGGACTAGTTCTAGGTAAACTTTTTTCTATCCTTAATATATAGTCGTAGTGATATTAATGTGTATTGGTGAAGATTCATGGATGGGAAGGTATAATGCATTTCACGGGGACGACATAATGTTTGATAATGAACAATCTTGTTAAAAATAGAAATTGCAGACGACACAGAATATATAACTGCACTACAAGTAGACAAGAGATTCATAGTCCTTAACATTGGTTATCAATCTACCAATCACTCATGGGTACAGAGGCGTAGACTCTTCAATCGCAATACCCAATTCGACTGATACTTTTCACACGTGCACGCTTAAAATCTCACACACGCCATATTCTTATTTAGCCAAACAGATAAAAATGTGATAGAATCTGAACATATTTTGAAAACGAATTTGAAGTAATATAGTTTTTAATTTGAAAGGTATTGATCGATTGTCTTATCTATATATAGGTGGTTTCCTAAACATCAATCCCCCTGAGTGGCTGTTCTGGACGAAGTACCTCACACTTGCACACTACCCGTACGCCGCCGCCATGACATATATACTTAAGGATATGGATGCCGTTTGGTGAGATGTACAAATTTATCGATTGTTCCATGAAAATTATATCAAATCATTTGAAACACATTTCCTCAAAAAAAAATTTCTGTTATTAATCAAACTATATACTTTTGCAACGGTGACTTAAAACATTTGTTAGTCTCTGCCACCTTTGTCTTTAACAGTGTCCAAAGTGACTTGGAACGTATACAGATGACACTTTGTGTACACTTTCGGACCAATTCATACCTATAGGTATAGTTTCAGCCCTTAGTATGATTTGTATTTAATATATATTTGTTGACAAGCATCGCTTCTGTGTTGATGCGAAAACTGATAGTGACCGGACATGTTTTCTTTTCTCTACTTCCAGGTGTAACCAAACAAGTGTGGGTATCTACTTCAAGTGCAAGAGCGAGGCAACAGAATTTCTGACCTCACGTGACATACTCTTGGGGATTGGTGTGGATTTACCTATATATTGCTACATCTCGACCATAGTGCTTGCCATTTTTATTTTCAATGTGTTTGGTTATTATGCATTGAAATGGAAAGGAGAATGATTGCAAAACACAATCTGTAAACGTTTTTGACTTAATGTGCTGCGGAGCAGAAGATGACGAGATCATAGGTTTTCACCTTTTCCCTGATGGCGTTATTACCGTGTCTGCTGCTACGATGTTTTTCTTTGTATAAATCTCGACGTCCTGTGTATATACAAAATGTCGAATTAATGTTTGAAATGATGGACTACAACAAAACTGTCATTCCTATATTTAGGTAAATCCATGCATACTTATCAGATAACAGTACGTTAACAAAGGCTGGACACATCCATTATGTAAAACATGTGCCCGCTGAAATACGTTCGACACCTTTGTATCAATTATGTATTCTACTAAAAAATTTCAAAATATTGTATCTAACAGTGTTGCTTATATTTATCAAAGTACACAATTAAATATAATCCCAATACCGACAGTTTTTTCTAGTAGGCTTCTTTGCACTTGCGAATTTCCATACCTTGAATTCGCTTACACACGTTCTCGATGATTTCCAAGAAATACCAGTCCAGGAATTTAAATATTATAGTTGTCACGCTGAGGTTTCAAACCTTCTAGTGTTTCATTCATTTCAGTCTGATCGACTCCAGCTATTATGATATTGACCACCGCGTATCAACACCATTCATGTCCTCAAACAATAAGGGAATTTTTCTATAGAACATTGCTCGTGCAGTGGAGATTCCAAAAGGTAAACTTTGGTAACGTTATCGATAAAAACAAGTGTAAAAAGAACTTAATTTGGAATCTTGTAGTTTCCAAAACTCGCTAGATGCCTCAAGCTTTAAGATGACTATAGCTCACGCACTTTTGGCCTTATGCGTTTCCAACTTGAAACGTTCCCTTTGCCCTTTTCAGGTTCCTAGGATACAGACAAATACGGATCTTTCATTGATGTTATGAAAAATAACAAGGGAGTTAACCAATTTTCTTTTGTTTATTATTTTGTATCTTCGCCATCCTGCCTAGTTCCTGTCAGGTGATTCAAATACATATATGACAAAAGGGATTAAACACCAGACAGAGGTTAATTAAGTCATTGAAGTCCAACTGCATCGAGTGTTAGTTTCATTTTAACCTTCTCTGTAAGCCATAATCTTTATACTTAGTGAATATGTCCAGATATGATTTCATATTGTCCTTTTCGTAAAAACCCGCCATTTTGCACAAGCCACATGATGTCACATTGCTTTCTACTTAATTAACTTTATTTGAATTGACACTATTTTTTTACACGGTCTCGAGTTTTTTTGTTTTGTTTTTTTTTAATTTTATGATCATGTTTGTTTCTGCTTTTGAATTTGGCTATAACAATTATGTTGATATCTGACTCTGGATTAAATTTCATTGGTATAACGCAGCCATTTACATTAATGTTGACAATCTGCTGTTTTGTCAGTATTTATATTGTCTCCAGAATATACCCACTGCAGAAGGGTCTGTGTTCTACTTGAACTGTTGTCCAATAGAGGTTCTGACAGTGTGCAATTCTACCATGCTAATAAGTGGTTTTTAATCAGGACAAGCTGTGCCTTTCGGGACTTTTGAGCCATTTCCTTTGTAAATAACGTGACTGGGATTCTTTTTTCTTCTTTACGTCATTTGCATATTTTTCAGCTCTTGTAAATTGGAAATGATATATTTCAGATGCACAATGTATATCAGGTGTTTCTGTAGCCCTATACAAATCAATGCTTTTATCGAGATTGAGCTCGCGTTCCTCTAACAAACCTATAAGGCAAGGTCTTTGCTGATCCTCTTCATGATTCTGTCTCTTTAGATAGATAATATCTAGATAACAGCTATCATGACTCTTTTTGTTTGAATATGTCAAGGGCAAGGTAGATAGCTGGCGCGTCCCCCGAAAATGTCAAGGCATTGTTGATAGACGACATCCATAGACTTCATCTTGTGAAACCATGGCTGCGGCAAACCTTTCATTATCTTTTGAACCATTAGTATACAAATGTAGAAATGTTTTATATTTTAACTGCAATTTCGAGAAGGATGAACGAAAGGTTCAACTGTCGGTGTCAGTGGTTGGAATTTCTATCGTTCCAAATGACCGAATTTGGTCAATATCAATATTTGTGTTTTGTAAAAGAGCGCAAATCCTAATTCCGAACGGTAGAATGGTCTTTAGTTTGTTTTGAAACAAGATTTTATATTTTGGATCATATATAAGTGTAAAAGCAGGATTTGAATTTAGCTGAATGGTGTATTGTAAAGCCAATTTATTTCGACGGCTATATAGTGATGGTTCGTAAGCCTCTACATGCAGGCTTGCTGTAGGTATGGTCTTAACAGCGCCGAGAGCGAGCCTCGAACCCTAGTGAAGAACAGTGTCTAATAGTTTTAAATATGACGGTCTAGCAGATTCATACGCAATGGAACCGTAGTCTAATTTTGATCTAATGAGAGATCTATACACCAGCGTGGGACATCACCTTTAGAATATTCAGTTTCTTAAGGCATTTGACTTTACTGTATTGTATCTGTGGAAGGAATTACAATTTCCTGTCTAATATTACACCTAAGAATAGATTTGGATCGTCGTGTTGTTTCCGCATCTGACAAAATGCATACAATCTGTTTTGGATTGTGAAAATGTAAATCCATTTTCATCTGCCCAAATTTGTAGTCATTTGTAAACATTGTTGTAGTTGTCTTTCGATGGTATTCATATGCTTAGATCGATTGCATATAATGAAGTTATCGACATAAAGAGCGCTCTCCATTTAAGGGGATAATGTTTTGACAATACTTTTAATTTTGAGTCCAAAAAGTGTAACCGAAAAAATGCTGCCTTGTGGTACACTCATTTCATGTTGATGGCCATCGGAAAGGGTCGTTCCATTCCGGCTTTATGTGATAGAAATTTTGAAATAAGATTTGGTAGATTACCACTAATACATATATACGTATTTTCATGTTGTGTCGAACGACTTTTCAAAATCGAAGAAAACAGCAACCAAATGTTCTTTAGTTACAAAAACCTCACTCACAAAGGTTTCAAGTCTAACCAAATGATCGTTGGTACCTCGAGTAGAACTAAAACCGCTTTATAGAGATGCTATTATGTAATTGGATTCCAAATACCAAATTAATTTTGAATTTATCATCCGCTCTAGAGTTTTAAAAATACAACTTGTGAGTGATATTGGGCGGTAACTGGAGGGATCTGTCGTATTTTACCCTGAGTACAGGAATCACAGTAGCAATTTTCCATGACTTTACCCGATGTTAAAATATAATTAAGAATATCAAGAAGTTTTTCCAATGAGAACTCTGGTAGACGTTTAAGGAACTTATAGTGAATATCATCAGGTCCTGTTGCAGAGTCATGTGATTTTTTCAACGATTCGCAATAAACTGAATGAAAGGGGATACTTTTTTACAGGACGAGAGGCGATACACTTAAATAGCAGGACGAGAGGCGATACACTTGATTACAGGACGAAAGACGATATATTCAAATTACAGGGCGAAAGGCGCCAGACTTAAATTACGGGACGAAAGATGATAGATACACTTGATTACAAGACGAAAGACGATTTACTTATTAACGGGATGAAATGCAATACACTCAAATTACAGAAGACGGACAAGGACTAATAAAATCTTTCACCTCCTCTTCTTATGTTCTCTTTAAGAGAGAGGTTTTAGTGAAAACATTGCAATTATATTTGGCACTGAGTACATTAAACCGCAAGACAATTGTTATGTTCCACGACCCATTTTTACTTCAACAGCTGATCATATATTCATGCATCAAAAGATGACAGTCAAAAGATACATTTTTTTTCAAATACAGCTTACATTTCCAGACTCTGACCATGTATTACTGGTTACAGTTTTTTATAACTACAAATTTACCAAATATCTCTTATGAAATAAAGTCAAATGGAATGAGGTGCACACAAGTAAATACTGTGTTATTCTAGCAGATCTTCATAACGAAATGTGTAACTTTACTGTGCATACTGAATATGTTTTCTAAGAGACGTGATCTAAAGAACTGATACGGGCCCTCCAGGCCTCTTACTTTACTTTCAAAGATGTTTTTATCCATTGTCATCTCTAAACTTTCTTTATCTCTGTTTCATATTTTGAAAAACAAAAACAAAGATAAGAAATATATCACAACATCATATCAATCACATGACGTCACTTTCGAGATTCTGACTCCACGCAATTAAGCTGCTAATTGACAAACTTACCGGTCACGCATTGTTTCAATTATTTTGGCTAGGAGCAGCAAATATAAGGGCCAAATTATATTAAAAGCGCTTTGGTGCACTGAAACTGGAAGAGTTTGAAACACTTCTCCTAAGATCAAAATTTGTTCTAAAAATCAAGAAAAATCACATATTTCTTTATTTAATTGATCATAAGTGTTTTCTTTTGCCAAATTTGACAAATTTTGTTTGCTTAAAATGACAAATAGATTCCAACGAACAAAATAAGTGGTTATAAGAAGCCTTGCTATGAAACATTGCCTTGTTATGGAGCCATTTCTGAACCTTACCTTATACCCTCAGTAAATGTCACAAATTCTATAATAATTCTGGCCCTATGAGCCTTTTGAATTTTTAAGTGCTATTTCAGGGGAGTGTATTGGGGTGCTATAAATGCCACATGGTTTGGATTAGATCGGATCGTGGGCAAAAATCCATTGTTCGTGAAAGAGGTCCTTTCATTTTTATGAGGTGACTGGATAGTAATGTTAAACGTACCTCCTCGAATTGTACACCCTTTGAAGATAGTGGATCCTAAAGCATTTGTGTTGCACAAGGAAACGCTGTTGTGTTGAGCGTTTTGATGAGTCTGTGAGGTGAGTGAATTCGAACTTGGCGGCCGCGTGTCAGATTTAACATTACGTTGTTTGGGACAGGTACAGTCTGGTAATTTGCAAGTATTGTTGACAGATTTTGTTTTTGAATGTTACTGAGGATTCTGTAATTGTTTAGTGACTGTGGGTTTTTATGTCCTGTGATGTG